AAGCTCTAAATTACTCAAGTTAGTAAACTCTTAAGTGGCCTACAAAGGCCGATTAGCCTATAATATTTCTTAACTGTGGAGTTCACTGCCTTTTACAAACATAGATTTGTGAAGCTTTGAGTGCAAGAATTGTATCTTTCTTTTCCCTGCCCCTGGCATCTGGCATGTAGCCTAGCATAGGCATTCAGAAAATATCTGTTGACTGAGTGAATGAATAAGTGAGTGATTACTTGGGAAATGCAATAACCTGGTTTAAGTTCTGATCCTGACTTTCATCGAACTAGGTTGGCTCTACCAAATATTATTTACTATGTGTGTGCGTGTGTTATGTGTATGGTACTGGAATTGAATCCAGGGTCTTTTGCATGCTACTAGGTAAGTGTTCTCAATCACTGAGCTCTACCTCCATTCTTCTGCCAAATATTTAAATAAGGTAATAGATTACATATCTTCTAAAGCATTCTTAATTTTTTAGATTGTTGCTTCCATAGCAGGAATCTCTGTTTTCTAGTTCCTTCTTTCCTTCTCTACATTAATAATTGTTGAGTGCTGAAATATATAGAGGGACAGTGGCAGTATGTTGAGGTTGTGTGGTAAACTCGGCTTTTTGACCATGTGGAACCTTTCCTCAGAGTTCCAGTTTTCTTTAATAGCCCGAGACTGGGGTGGTCCTTGCTTTTGCTTGCAAAAGTGAGGAAAAGGTTGTTTTCCTTGCTTAATTCCTTCTAATTGTGAACCAAGAAACACAAATAGTAAACCCAAAAGACTACTATTAGTCCTACACTTCAATTACCTAAAGGATTGAGAACATATCCTGAATTGTCTTGGTGATCTAAAAACCTTGGAAGCATGTGGTTTATGGCTTACACTTGGACTTTAGGGAAACAAGTATTTATAAAAGTGAATTGTACAAATATAGGTAGTATTTGAGGTATAGGTTTGTGAAAGGAGAGGTGTTTCTAGTTAGACCTGTGTTCATGTATATAAGACATGGAGAGATGGTGTGTTATAAATACAGTTGAAAATGTTTACTCTTGGCTATTCCATTTTTTGAATGCAAAAATGGGGGATGTTGAAATAGGAGCTACATGTTTTCTTTACATATGGTACTTCATTGACTGTCCTACTGGTTGGATTCTTGAGTTGATGTGTGTATAGGATTTGATTATGTACAGTTTATATGTGACTTTGTTTTTCATCCCTTAAGGACCTGTCCTGCCCAGGAACAACATTGCTGACTATGCACTCAGTGCAGGCACCACAGCTATGAATGCCCAGAGGCTTTTAAGAGCTACCAAACTGAATAAACCCATTCTCCTGGAGGGCTCTCCTGGTGTTGGCAAGACAAGTTTGGTGGGAGCATTAGCAAAGGCTTCAGGAAATACCCTTGTTCGAATCAATCTGTCAGAGCAAACGGTAAGCTGTTATCCTATAGAACTTAGAATAGGTGTAGGTAATAATATCTCTGTTTATCGAGTTTTCTAATTTAAAATCGTTATGATATTGTTAATATCTCCATATATTTCTTATGGTGATAAAGATCTTAGCAATATTTTCTTCTAAACTAAGTCTGCTTCTGGATTCATTATAATCCACACCTATAATATTATTATTCTCTTTCTCTTTCTTTCTCTTTTTTTTTTGTTGTTGTTTGTTTTTATTTTTACATGGTGCTGAGGATCGAATCCAGTGCTTCACACCTGTGAGGCCACTGAGCCACAATCCCAGCCCTGCTCTCTCAATTAGATATTTTAATCTCATTCTCTTTTGAGAGACAAGTACTCATTTTTATATTTATTACAATATATAATCTCACTTAACATTTTTGTTTTTCTTAAAAAACAACTTGTAGAAAGAAAATGAGTTTTAAATAATCTTATAAAAGTCTGGGACAGAGGTGACAAATTGTAAGTGGCTGGGAGCAAGACCTGGGCATTGTTACTATTTTTTCTTTCAAAGCTTACCAACAAATTTTCAAGTATACAGAATTACTAATCTGAGCATCTGCTTAAACTGATTAATGAGCATCATGATGAGAAGGTGCTCGGGTTATATTTAGGCTTCTGGTAAAGAGTACTAGGAGTGGTTAGTTTTAACTTGGGTATAAGAAAAAAACGTAATGACAAGGGCTAAAAAATTCACCATTTCAGATTTAGGGTCTTAAGACCTAGTATCTTTTGTTTGCTTCCTTGTTTGTTTAAAAAGTAATGTTGGCTTTTTTCTATTTCTTCTCTCTCAAAGGACATCACAGACCTATTTGGAGGAGATCTACCTGTTGAGGGTGGCAAGGGAGGAGAGTTTGCCTGGTGTGATGGCCCCTTGCTGGCAGCTTTGAAGGCAGGCCATTGGGTTGTGTTGGATGAGGTGAGTGTCTTGTCATTAGGCCTTGGATGGGAATACATGTATGGGAAGTGGTCCTTTTATTTGTAGTTTTAGTGAATGAACATGCTGATATAGAGACAGAACTCGAATAAATTGTCCTCCATCGTTTGGTGGCACATGCCTGTAATCTCAACAGCTTGGGAGGCTAAAGAAGAAGGATTGCAGGTTTCAAATTATCCTCAGCAGTTTAGCAAGGCTATAGACAACATAGTGAGACCCTGCTCCAGAATAAAAACTAAAAAGGTGTTGGGATCTATCTCAGTGGTTATGCACCCTTGAGTTTAATCCCTGACACCCCGACCCCCAAAAATACATCCATCAGAATAAAGAACATCATATCATGAGGCAAGGTAAATACTGAATCTTGTCTGAGAGAGAAATAAGGAGTTGGGTCTGTTTAGGATGTATGTTAATTCAGGAGAAGGCTAGATATATTTGTGGAGCTGAAATGATTAGAGTGATGTTAGGGGGCCCAGCTGGTTCTTTTTTGTTGTTGTTTCTGTTTCTTTTGTTTTTGTGCTAGGGAATTAACCCAGAGGCCCTTTACCACTGAGCTACATTCCCAGTTCTTTTTATCTTTTATTTTGGAACGGGGTCTTGTTAAATTGCTGAGGATCTTGCTGAATTGCTAAGGCTGGCCTCAAATTTATAATCCTCCATTGCTGGGATTATAGGCCTGCATCTCCACACCATTCTCCCAGCTGTTTTCTAGATACTTGTATCTTTCTAGGTCTGGACATCAGAGATAGTGCTATGTAATTCCATTTGCTGAGCTGCTGCCTGCCATTCTTGGGGAAATATCAGGAGAAAGGTTTTTTTACAGATGTTTTTGGAAAAAGATGTCTAATAGATTATTCATTAGCCAAGAAAGGGGAAAACTTAATTTTAAAGCTGAAGGCTACTTGACCATACTCAAATTGGAGTGAAATGGACACATTTAAGAGCAGTTATATATTTGTGATATTCGGAGGAGTTTGTGCTTTGTAGTACTTATGTAAACACAACAGGTCAAATGGTTATATGTTGTAGCCTGATACTTTATTTTGTTGGTTTGCATTTTCCCAATTGACTTTCTCTGTTTCCTAAAAACCTTCCATGTCTCATGTCATGGAGATCTGAACCTCAATATCTGAAGACTTCCATTTGGCTCTTTTCCTTTCTTGCATGAGAACTCTCTATAATTGTTTATAAAACTGTTGGTAAAAACTAATTGTGTAGATCCAATTGTTTATATCATGACTTTGAAACCCATTTGAAGACAAAATTTGAATTTGAAAAGTATATAAAGAGCTATCAAATCCTACCTATTAGCCTATAATTAGTGTTAAATTTCTAAAAACCCAGAGTATTAAAGTGAAATACATATATTGGCAAGTTTTTTTTGTAAGTTAATTTTGCCAGATTAGAACAGTATAGATGCATATATGTAATGGATATGGTTTAATGTTAGAAAGATTTTAACATGTTTTACTTCAATCTGAACATTCATTTAAATGTCTTGTATATATGTAAAATAAAGAACAATAGAATAAATACATATCACCTCATCGTTTGGCTTGATAACTATTTGGCTACAAATATTGTTTGAGCTTCCCTCTCCTGAATTTACCACTCTCTTATTTTGTTCTTTATTATTCTCTTGATTTTTGTCAGTTATATAACATATGCAGTGAAACAAAAATATTCACTCTCTTTTCCATATAGCTTAACTTGGCTTCACAGTCTGTATTGGAAGGACTCAATGCTTGTTTTGATCATCGAGGAGAAATCTTTGTGCCTGAGTTAGGAATGAGCTTTCAAGTACAGCATGAAAAGACGAAGATTTTTGGATGTCAGAATCCTTTTAGACAAGGAGGTGGGAGGAAGGGCTTACCCAGGTCTTTCCTGAATAGATTCACTCAGGTAAGATTCACTATTACTTAGAAATCAAAGGTAGATAAGACTGCTGGTAAGTAGCAGTTAGAATGTTTGACTGTACAAATGAAAGACAGTTTACTGATCGGTTTCTTGTCTTTATGTGATGAATATTAATGTGACTGTTTCCCATCATCACTTCTCTTCAGGTTTTTTTGTTTTGTTTTGCTTTGGGTTTTGGTACTAGGGATTGAATCCAAAGGCATTTTACCACTGAACTGTACCCCTGGTCTCTTTTTTGAGATAAGGTTTCACTGAGTTTGCTGAGGCTGATTGCAGACTTGTGATCCTCCTTCCTCGGCCTGCAGAGATGCTTGGATTACAGGCTTGCATGCCAGCACACCTGGCCTCTCTACTACTTTGAATCATTTTGTCCTATTACCTGGATAACTTGTTGTCTTGTCATTTGGTGGAGAGTAAGGTCACTGTAATCTTCAGGATTCTGTTACTGCACTCAGGGTTGGAAACCTGTCTGACCTTTTCAAGTGTCTATGTGTCTATTAATACATTTCAACAAATTTTATAATGAAAGTAATGTATTTTAAGTAAAGAAAGAACAGACATCTGCCATGAATAATAAAAAGCCACTATCCCCAGTTCATCATTATTAACATTCTAATTTTTTAAAAATATTTGGTATGTAGTTGTGATTAAACACAATACATTTATTTTATGTGGTACTGAGGATCGAACCCAATGCTTTGCGTGTACTAGGCAAGCGTTCTACCACTGAGCCATAACCCTAGCCCCTAACATTCTAATTTCTCTTGCCTTTAATCCTATTTGCAAAGGGGTATGCATATATATTGTATCTATGTATATTATGTATGTGTAAGAGTATATATGTATATGTATACATATACAAGTTATTTGTTTTAACAGCTATTTTGCAGAGTTTGGCTAATTTAGAGGTTTGGAAATACCTCTAGATGTTAGCTTTTCTTAATGTCCGTGTCCCTTGATGATTAAGAATTTGCTAAATATCTTAACATTTTATTAAGGAAAGTTCTCGTGCATATTGAAAAGCTGAACAGATTTTGTAATGTACATTCTTAACACCCAACATCCAGAATTAGAATTCTGAAAGCATTTTAAAAATTGCATGTTTTGCTATTGAATTTACTAGCACAGAGCTTAAAAACAAAATGTCTGTTTCTCTATATTTGAAAAGTTGATTCTTAAAATGCAATAATAGAAATTTCTAAAGCTGAAATTTATAGAATTGTATGTATCTGAAATGTAGATATGATTATATATATATATTTAATATATATGAGTTAAATATTTAGTATTAAAGACTTCACATAACGTGATCTGTCATAGATTGTAAAGAGAAACTGGCATTCCTTTATGTTACATTTTGGATTCTATAGGTCTTTGTGGATCCCCTTACAGCAGTTGACATGGAGTTTATTGCCAGTACTTTGTTCCCAGCCATTGACAGAAATATTGTTAAAAAGATGGTAGCTTTCAACAACCAAGTAAGTACCTACTTGTATTAATCTGTGTTTCCTGGCTATATTTGAACCAGCATTTTTTCAATATTGGATTCTATCAAAATCACCAATCTCTCAAAATAAATGATAAAATTCTACAAGTTTGAGGGTGATGGTAAATCAGTTCTGTATTGTAAATGCCAATATTAATGCCTTTAGGATATTTCTGGCATTTGGAAGTCTGGATTTAGGAGAAGGAAGCATCTGAATCAAAGCTGTTAATATATTTAATTTCTACTTCAGATCACAGATTCATTTCTAGTATTTAATACATTTGATGGTACTTAATGCAACACTGGATATGTTTCTCAATAAGGATATTTTATTTATAGATTGATCTCGAAGTGACTGTTGAGAAGAAATGGGGGCAAAAAGGAGGACCCTGGGAATTTAACCTCCGGGACCTTTTCCGTTGGTGTCAGTTGATGCTCGTTGATCAATCCCCTGGCTGTTATGATCCTGGTCAGCATGTGTTTTTAATCTATGGTCAAAGAATGAGAAGCAGGGAAGACAAGGAGAAGGTGAGTTTCATACTTTGTTTCTTCCTGAGAGTTGATTTCATCTTAAGAGGAAAAAGTGTATTTATGCTAATAATACCAAACCTAGTAAACTACTTGGAAATTTAGAAGTTGTGGAAACAGACAAAATATTCCCTTATCAAAATAGTTTGCTTTGGAGGACACAGTTTGCTTGTTCTTTCAAATCCCGTGGTCACAAATCTGAAAACAGGATTGTCCTTTAGTAATAAAAACCTAGTTTTTCAAAATTTTTCCTGGAAAAAAGGTGAGAAGCAGGAGAAGACAGCTGATGCCCAGCAGAAAGTTTAAATAGATGTCAAGAGAAGATATTCTGTATTTAAATGAAAAGAAAAATACTGTTAATAAATAAAATATAGCACAATTCTCAGATTAGGGATCTGTAGCTATGTATGCTTTTTGAGGGGCAGGGGAAGGGATGAGTCCCACTATGTTGCTCTGGCTGATTTCAAATTCTTGGGATCAAGTGATCCTCCCCCCTCAGCCTTCCGTGTAGCTAAGACCATGCCACTGCGTTCAGCCTGTGCTGGTTTTGATTTGTGGCATTTAAAGTCCTGTCTTATTGAACGCTCACAATAGCTATAGGCAGAAAGTGCTGACATGACTTCCTACAAGTCAGGATCCAAGGCAGCATGGCATGGAATCTCACAAATAGCAGAGCCAGCCCTCTTGGCCTTCTTTATTTTGTCTGCTGTTGCTTTCTGCTAAACCCCACTGTTTAAAAACAAATGATCTATGCAGAACTCCATGTGTTAGAGAGCAGTAACATCCTGGTGGAAGCATGAAGATGTTGCTAGCTGATAGCACATGTATCTATCACCCCTTTCATTCTGCCCAAATCCTCTTATGTGGTATTCAGAGCCCAACCAAATGCTTACTACTCATTTATTACCTACAAGTGGCTTTCAGTCATTGGATTAGAAGAAAATGTTCAGCTGGGGTTTTTTTTTTTTTTAACACTTTTATTGATACATAATTCACATACTATGACCTAGTATTTTAATTTATTTACTTATGTATTAGTTGTACAGGTTAATCTTAATTTGACAGTTAACATTTGATATCTAAAATGCTATAAAATCTGAAACTTTTAGCATTGATAGGCTACCACAAGTGGAAAATTTCAGGATATGTGTTTTAAGATACATATGAAACATAAATGAACATTCTGTATAGACTTGAGTCCCATCCCTAAGATGTCTGTATGTTGCCAAAAGCTCAGTCCTTGTCCCCAGTGCCAATTCAATAAGGAGGATATGGTTTTGATAGAAAAAAAAAAAGATTATTGCTTTGCTAGCAAAGGAAAAACACAGAGGAATCCTGTCTCAGAGAATGTGATTCTACCCATCAGTAGGAACAGGGAACTTTTGTAGAGGTGATTCAAAGGCTATATTCCACATGTTCTTTGATGGAGTTATACTGTCATTTCTGAGAAGTTCTGGTGCCATCTCCAAAGTCTGGTTTACTTCATTCCTAAATCTGCTTTTTTACAATGGGGAAGAAAGGTAATTCTATTTCCCCTGAGATTAGAGAGTAGAGAGATTAGGGAGGAGCAGGAAGAGAGGAAGAGAAAGAAACGTCCATTTAAAAAAAAAAAAAAAAGTGTAGCTGCAGAGCAGCAAGGGTTATATTCAAAGTATAGAGTAGAGGGGCTGGGGATGTGGCTCAAGCGGTAGCGCGCTCGCCTGGCATGCGGGCGGCTGGGGTTCGATCCTCAGCACCACATACAAAGATGTTGTCTGCTGAAAACTAAAATAAATTTTATAAAAAACCACAAAGTATAGAGTAGAAAATTATTATAATTATGTGTATAGAAATATTCCAGAATGCAATAAAAAAAAGGAAATTGTGAGTACTTCTGGTCCCAAGCATTTTGAATAATGATACTCAAACCTATAGCATGTTAATTATAACCATGATATCAACCAATGTTCTTGTGATTTATGATAGTCAGATGGTGTGTCACTGTGGTGTGTGGAAGGTTTCTGTACTCCTAACCAAATAGGCGTTTTCTGAGGATAGAGAACATTAGGAAAAATAAATAGAAAGAGGCTGTTAAAATTGGGAGGGCCCGAGCGAATTAAATATATTTTTTTTCCAAAATAAACTAGCTAGATTGTGAATTTGTAATTTTAACCCTCTGGCAGAACATTAGGGAGAGGAGATTATGTGCTTTAGAAACACATTTTTCTTCACCACTCCTTTTATTTATTTTAAAGATACCCATAAAGTAAATAGTTAATAGGAAGGTTTTTAACAGCCTTTCTATTAGGGAAGAGATAACTAAATAACTGGTTAGAAGAACAACTTTGATTGTCACATCTACATAAGTATCTAGAGTGATTACATGGTATTTTTGAAGTTAGACTGGCTTAGATTTTTAAACCCCATTATTTCTATCTATAAAATGGAAATGATAACTCTTGCATGGCTATAAAGACCAGAAGTAATCTATCAAACAACCTAATATATAATATGGTGTCTGATATACAGTTGGTGATCAGTAAATAGTTATTCTTTATAATCTTTGTATTATTATTCTCTTCTACTCTCTTTTTAGATATTACCTTGAAGGATGAAATCAGGTTTTTTGTCTCTAGATTTGTGGTCTATGCTTCATTTTAATTTTTGGTACATTCTCACTAGATTCTCAGATAGTTTGGTGTTATGTGATTACTGTGTACTTGAACTCAAGTTTTCTTTTATTTGAGAGAATTAAGTAAATTCAGTCAATGCTTTTAAAAAATATTTTTAAGACATTAATGGACCATTATTTTATTCATTTATTCTTTAGTTTTTAAATTTTTTATTTGTAATTGGACACAATACCTTTATTTTATTTATTTATTTTTATATGGTGCTGAGAATCAAACCCTGTGCTTTACACATGCTAAGCAAGTGCTCTACCACTGAGCCACAACCCCAGCCCCAGTCTGTGCTTTTCTGTAAGACAATATTCAAAAGGCTAAGGAAAGTGTGGCTCATTTTCTCTGAATATAGTGACTCTAATCACTAGGCTTTTTTCCCTAGAAATATTCCAGAAGGTGTGCATAAGAATTTGGTAGAGTGGTTTGTATCTTGATTGAATCATCTTTTTACTTTAGGTCATTGCTGTGTTCAAGGATGTGTTTGGTTCAAATTCTAACCCATACATAGGAACCAGACTATTTCATATCACTCCCTATGAAGTTCAGGTGAGGAGATAAAGATAACCCTCTACTCTTTTACAATTTTCTATGGTTTCTCTATTCCCACTACCATGTTTGCTTCTGATATGTCATTGGCATGTTTTTTCAGCTGGGCTACTCAGTCCTTTCCCGTGGCAGCTATGCTCCTCACCCATCTCGCCGGCCCCTTTCACTTCTGCACCAGTCATTCCAGTCCCTGGAGTCCATCATGAAATGTGTTCAGATGAGCTGGATGGTCATCCTTGTGGGGCCAGCCTCTGTTGGCAAGACCAGCCTAGTCCAGCTTTTGGCACAACTTACTGGCCACACATTAAAGATCATGGCCATGAACAGTGCAATGGATACTACTGAGCTTCTGGGTGGATTTGAGCAGGTAACTTGTCTACCTTCACACTGTGAGGTAAAAGATAAAGCCCCGTGGATTGATTAAGAGTCTTCTGTGTTAGTGGTATCTACAGATAACAGTATCCTCTGACTCTTGCCAGTGCCTATGATGATGAGTTCCTATGTTCTGGAAATTGCAGGTTGATCTAATACGACCTTGGAGGGAGCTGCTGGAGAAAGTGGAGGGTACTTTAAGGGCATTGTTACGGGATAGCCTTCTTATCAGTGCCGAGGATGCAGAAGTAGTGCTGCGTGCATGGAGCCATTTCCTTTTGACTTACAAACCCAAGTGTCTTGGAGAAGATGGTCAAGGCATCACAGTGGAAATTGTCAATAAACTGGAAGCGGTATTGCTACTTATGCAGAGACTCAATAATAAAATCAACTCATACTCTAAGGCAGGTATGTATATTTGGATGTGTATATCATACGCTTGGCATTACCCATATTGTATCCATTTATGAGAATATAATAGTGAATGTCATGCCCATATTTTTAATGAATTAACAATCAAAACTTCCTAGAAATTATAATGAAGCTGAGGTAACATAGATTGATCCTAAAAAAGCAAACAGGAAAATGATTGCCTTATCAAGCTTTATGGCTCATTTTGTATATATTAAGTTATAATACTTAATTAGTTGCATGTGAAGTTTTTATTTTTTGATTTTTGGCTTTTTTTTTACATATTAATTTCTCAAAGTAAGCATTTTAAATTGAAAGAGTATGGATTGATAGGGTATGTATGTTTACATAAGAGGAAAAATATCATTTCTGCATGATTAACATGGAAACTTTAATCGTTCCTTTTGTAGTGGTACTTTTTCAAAAGGTGATGAGAATGCACTAAGGGAGACTTAAATATAGAGGCCTATGAGTTGGTTTGTTTGACATTAGATTATCATCCTTTATTTCTAAAGACTGCTTGAAACTGAAGAGTTGATCGTCAGTCATAAAGAAATCAAACTTTTCACTTCTAGCTCTCTAATATAGTATAAAAGGGTATGATTTCACTGTTGAGTGGTTTCTTGATTCAAGGCCACTATTTGAACTGGAAAAATCTTTACTTATTTACTTAAATTAATTATTAAAGGGTATTTGATGGAGTCACATCACTTCATATATTTTGAAATATGAATATTGTAAAGTTCAGCACAGATATGAATTTATATTGATTATTACATATTATACTGAAAAACATATATAGTGTGTGTATATATATACACACACACACACATAAACTTTTAATCCTTGACAAAATGTTATAGAAGATTACCTCCAAATTATAAATGAAGAAAAGAATGCTCATTAAAGTTAAATAATCAAACTGCTTAGGTTTTGAATCCAAGTTTTTGCACTATAAAGCTGTGAATCTAGTGATGTATTATTTCTTTCATAAGTCAATTTAAAATTAGATATCTAGGATTAGGATGAGTTTTCATAGCATATTTTCAGTATTTTTAAAAATTCATGTTGATTTATCAATTTCTTAGGGGATATTAATAGAGTGAAAAAGCTGGATCTGAAGTAGTTGGTCTTTTTTATTTTTGGTTAAAAATATTTTTCTCCATTTTTAACTATATTTTTTAATGTATCTTTTATGTGCATGTATGGTACTGGGGATTAAACCCAGGGCTACACTACCGCAGAACTATACTCCCAGTCCCTCTTTAGAAAAATTTGAGACTAGATTTGCTCAGGCTGACTTCAAACTTGTTGTCCTCTTGTCTCATCCTCCCAAGTTACTGGGATTTAGGCATGTGCCATGATGGCCAGCTACATCTTAATGTTTCTGTGATGAACCTTTATGGCTTTTAAAATATAGTTCTCATTATGTTTATAATTTTATTTTAAATCCCTTTGCATAATGAGCATATTTCTAATTGCTGTATTGATGTCTTTATTTGATTTATGGGTGTGTTCTATTTACTGCTTTTCTTCTCTTTCTGGGCCTTATTTTCATTGTTCTTTGTATGTATAGTAGTTTTGATTATATGCCAGACATTGTGAATTTAAGATGCTGAATTCTGCTTTTTGTTGCTATCTTTAAAGATTCTTGGGCTTTTCTTGGTGTCAGTTGCTTAAGGATCATTTTGATCTATTCGGAATTGCTTTTAAGCTTTTTAAAGGTAGGGGCTAGGGTGGCCTTTCCTCTAGTGTTGGGTCACCCCACTGCTGAGGCCTGTACCTGCAGCATCTCACTGAATATCCTGTATATTTGCTGGGGTCTCTACTTTGGTTGTTGAAGTGGATTGATACTCAACCTGTGTGAACTCTGGGAATTGTTCAGATCACATCTCTCCAGTAATTGTCCTTTTCTTAGAAGTTTTTGCTCATCTTTATAGAGCTTTATCCTTTGCATGTGTATGCATTTAGTTATTTAGTCAAAAAGGCCCTTATTGGACATGGCTCAGGGTTACCATCTTGGTAAGAGGCAAAGCAGCAGCTGCTCCTGTCAGGAGGGCATCGGGTCCAGAGAAGCCACGGACCTGGCCCTGTCAGTGGAGCCAGAGCATGGGTATGCACACCACCTTCCTCACCATGGTGCTGTTGGCAGCAGCAGTCTGCATAAAAGCAGGAAAGGCTATTGTTTCTCAACAGTTTGTGGAAATGACCCAAACTTGGCTTGAAGCAGCTTTCCCAAAGCTCATGAACACTGGAAAACAGCATGTTTGTTGAAATGAAGAGTGTAACAAATGCCTATCATCCTATGGAGAAAGTATACATGGTACTAATAATCTCTACCAAAAACAGCAACAGTTTAGATTTGGAAACCCTAAGGCTCTTCTCAAGTGTGATTCCTGAGTATTGCTGAGCCTTAGAGGAGAATGAAATATCTGAGCACTGTTTTGATTTGATTTTTGCTTTTGATGGAATTGTTGCCCTGGGATACCAGGAGAATGTTAACCTGGCACAGATCAGAACCTTCACAGAAATGGATTCTCATGAGGAGAAAGTGTTCAGAGCAGTCTGAGAGACTCAAGAACGTGAAGCTAAGGTTGAGATGCAGCATAAAACAAAAGAATTACCACATGCCTGAAGAGATGCAGAGAGAGACGGGGAAAAAAACACTGGGATTTGGTATCTGCAGTATCTAGAGGCAGCACAGCTGTCATGATCACAGAAACCATCATTGAAACTGATAAACCAAAAGTGGCACCTGCACCAGCCAAGCCTTCAGACCCTAGCAAGGCTTTGAAGCTTGGAGCCAACGGAAAGGAAGTAGATAACTTTGT